GCAGACACTTTCAAAACACTGCTCTTGATGAAGTAGAAAAGACCCTGAACGAGAAGCCAGTTAAACTAAATTTTTGTCTCAGATTTTTCACTGACTTTATTGTCTTCAGCAAATCCCTTAAGTTTATGTATATATTTCAGCATCATCAGCGTCACAGGGCTGCTGTGGTATTAAAATGAGATAACTTAAATGAAAGCACTCTGAAATGCTTGAAACGCTATAAAATACATATAATGACTAAATTCCAGAGGATAAGATCTGAGAGAGCTAAGCTGACCAGTATTATGGAAGGAAGCTTAGTGCAGAAAAGCCCAGACTCATAGGTTTATGTCTCCTTTACTCTCTGATGCAATGTACTTAATAAAATGGGTTATACAAAAAAAAAAAAAAAAAAAAAAAAAAAAAAAAAAAAAAGAATAAGAAATAAGCAGAGGAGACAGAGTCTGGGACAGCTCAAAAGCATTACTCATTGTACTCAAGGAGTAAGTTAAAGGCCAGCCACCGGCCATAACCCCTGCAAGGGTGCATCTATCTGTCAAAGTGTACAGGCACCTCTGGGTCCCCCTCACAGGCGATGACAACACGCCGAGTTCTTGCCATGGCCCGATATCTACAGTTGGGAGGCTTGGAACTTCCTGTCTCCCTGCAGTCTGTGACCTTCACTACCCCCTCATGGCAGTTCATCCTGCCATTCTTGCATTGGATATTGTCGGTGCTGCAGATACTACGAATGTTCCAGATATCCTCATGGATGAAGGTGTTAAAGCGCTTGCACTGACGCAAAGTCATCTTCCGTCTTTGCATCATCACGTTGCAGTAGATATCATCACCACCTGTCTCATCAGGGTCCACGTGTTGCTGCAGGAATCGTTGGTACATGCGATCCTGGCCATAGGAGGGCTGCACCAGCCCCAGCCCCAAAAGGGTCAGCAGCAAGAACAGAAGCAATGTCTGTGTCTTATGTAGAGCCATCACTACCTGTGAGGTGCCTGGAAGAGAAAGCAAGGGGCAGGAAAAAGGAAGGTAAGAATTGGGGAGTGGAGAGGTGTAGAGAATGGCAAGCTGACATTTCCTTGATTCCACAGTCTCCTCTTTCCTCCTCCTTATATATATCATCTCTTCACTCTGCTCTGCTTACCAATTTTGCCACCCTTGCTTCCCCAAGAGTGAACAGTTTGAAAACATGCTTTCCTGAAAGCAAGAGACTTTCTGTTTTACAGAAAGAAGTTCCTCTAGTCAGTATAATGACTCATGGCAGGACTGGCTAACTGGGTAGCTGTCCAGGCCTATGTGGTCAGAATCTAAAGAGAACAGGTAAATCTACATGAAACTGGAGTTGTATGTCTCCTCAGGTCATTCCCTAGTAGTATGATCTTTGGAGAGTGTTCAGTTCCCTGGAAGCACCAATTCCTAACAGTTTGGATAGACTCAGTATACGTCAAAGAAACTTTATGAACTGATTTTAATACTTAGGAATTGAAGCAGGAATCAAGGAATTGAGGGAGGTGGAGAAAAGAGGATAGAATAACATTTAGGTTTAGACTTTCCTCTCATATTGTTGGAGTGAGCAGGACTGAAGCCATGTTGGGACTTAAAGCTGCCTGGGCTGTGGAGGGAGGGAAGATTTTAAAAAGGAGAGCTTTTTCTCTGCACTCTTTCTTCCCATCCCCTGACTTTCTTCTCTCTCTCGCTAAGTAGGAAAACAAGGCTGAGAAGCTAATTAGTACTTTGCAAAGCTCATAGTTCTTTCTTTGAGACTTGTAGAGTTTAGAGAAATGATCAAGGCCAAATGACTGAAGCTGACCTTGGGCGCCAGCCAAGTACACCGGTGCAAATCAAAATCTTGCAGGGTCCTGAGATAACAGTGAAGATGAGAACAGAAACTAGATGAGGCCTTGGCAAGACCTTGCACCTGACTCATAGAAACCGATCCCTCCTAACTCACATCTCCTGCTCTCCTGGTTTTCACCTCCCACATTCCATTCCCTCAACCCTTCCTTAAAAAACCCCTCAGTAAATGTAAATCTTTGAGATGGGATAGCCTACCATCTCCTTCAGCTGAATACATCTGCTTTTCTAACACCAACTGTTTGACCTCTGAGTTTTTTTTCTTTCCTTCTCAAGGGGGTGGGCAGCCGGACCTGAGTCCGGTAACAATATGGCTATTCTTCTAATGGTGTAAAATCAGGTCCTTTTGGAAATCTGGTTAAACCTATAAAAAAAAAGAGTACCCAGACACAGTGCTTTGAAGACAGTAGATAATAAACATTGTTTGAATGAACTAATAAACGGAATGAGTGAGCTAATGACCAAATGAAGTTAAATAAGTATAGAGAGTAAAGGTGTTTGCCAGGCTTGCGGAACTGACTGACAAGAAAAGCTAAGAAACATTTAAAAAATAAATCTAAACAGCATAATCTTCTCAAAAACCTTGGATTGTGTCTTATTTTTTTCTTGCTGTTTCTACACACAACCTAAAAAGCAAGGCCCTAGTGATACGTTCCACTGTCATGCATGTATCCTTGATGTTTTCCTGTCTTGTAAATAGATGTGGGTAGTTGTTTGTCTTGTCTAGTTGCAGATCACTGTGTTGTCACCTCTTGGCAATGGAAAACAAACATATATTTTAAATGTTAAAAAAAAAAATCTCCAGAGCTACAACAAAGTATCGCCATGTAGTTTCAGAATATTCATTGCTTTTGTTGACTGAAAAATAGCATCTGTTAACCTAAGTTTATGTTTATGTGAAAACAAATCTAGTTGAAGGAGTAAGAAATAAGCTTGGAATCTTTCTATAACTTCCTCAAGACCTCACGGTTTGCCAGACATGAGTTGATAAAGTAGAAGATTAAAGAGAGAATAATATAATGTAACCAAAAATTTTTTTGAAATTGATGTAAAATAACCATGACAAGAGAATATCCTGAGAACATTCCATTCAAACCAATATCAAAATTACCTCCTGCTTAAGACAAGAGGTGGCTTCCCTGAATGAATTTTGGTATTCATGCTAGATTACGTGTTTGTGTGTGTGTGTGTGTGTGTGTGTGTGTAAGAGAGAGAGAGACAGACAGTCAGACAGAGACAGATAGAGAAACACACACACAAACAAAGAGTATAATTAATCTGTTCGTATGTTGGTATTTGGTCCTAAACTCTTCTCCTCAAGGTCTCATATTTATACAAGTAGTATTAGTTTATTATTTGATAGAAAAAATAATTTGCCTATCTTGAAAATTCTGCTTAGTGGCTATGAGCCCTAGAATTTTTCCAGATCTCTATCTAAATCAACTTATTATCCCTACCTTCACAGAAGGGTTAAGTCAAGCTCCCTATTGACTGATAAGGAAAAAAGGTGTTTCATCTCATCCAATGCCCTCAGGAAACAGCTGAGTAGAGAAAATGGGGAAAGATAAATATGCCAAGAATTAGCGAGAAGACTCTGGTTCTTACTAATTTCGGAGACACTTTTATTTATTAAACATGCTGTGTACAGAAAGCAAAAGGTCCAGGTAGCTCATTTCCTGGGCCCTGGTAGTGAATGTTGCTCTGTGTTCTGGGGTGTGGAGGGAAAAGGCAAGGGGAGGACAGCAGAGCCAGCTCTGGGCCAGTGGACTGCTGGTTATGGATGGAAAAAGGACTCATCGAAGTGGACAGGCAAGCCATTTGCACAGGCAACAACAATGTGTCTGGACCCTGATGTGGCTCTGTACCGGCATGGAGGCTGGGGGGACCCTCCTACATGCTTGCAAGTGGTGACCTGGAAGGGAGACTTGCTTATTCTTAAGTTTTCTCTGTGAGGATTTCCATCATTTCCACAGATGGCCTTGATGCTGCCCTTGCTGCCATGAATAAAGGTGTTGGTGTCTTTGCAGGGTGAGGTCAGGCCTCGTCTCTTCATCATGGTTTCACAGTATCTGTCATTCCGGCCTGTAGGTTTGGCATCGTAATGCTTGGTCAGGAAGTCTTTGTACCTGGAGTCATCCTGAGCCAGGGCTGGTGGGATCAGACCCAGCCCCAGCATGAAGACCAACAACAGGGGAGTCAGGCCCATCACCACCTCTTCCAGCAGAGGCTCCTACCAAAGGCAAAAGGAG